CAAACCACTGCTCCTGATCCAGCAAGTAAACCCACCCAACACACAGCAGTCCTGGAGGCCAGCAAGTAGTGCGTTTTCCAGTGTTTTCTACTAGAAGAAAGTTTTGTTCCCTGCATTAACTGTTAAAACTAAAATAGCCATAACCGTAGCCTCAACTCCTAAAATTGAGGTTCCAATAATAATCTTGCTCAGATTCTAGAAATCAGTGTTTGTGGGGGCCTAGAACACCGACTGAGAATCGTCATCTCCTTCTATTTATACATGTGACTAATTTCTCTACTCAGCACTATGCCAGGTTGTTGCTGTGGTTAATTCTGTTTGATGAGCTAGCATTCCTTCTCCCACAGGATTCCTATCGGCTACTTCATAGTTCACCCCACCTTAGGCCAGCGACAAAACTCTGCTCAAACTGTACCTGCACTTATCCTATGAAAGTTTATAAAACATTGTACTAAGTCACAACTTAACTTAATCATGGATCATAATAGTGTTTTGCAGGCTTCAGTTCCAGCTATTATAAATAAGTCCTAATTGTTAACAGTCAGACAAGCTAAATTATCCAAGGAAATGAAAACTGCAACCGGTGTGTGCATTGTGCACGGAGGCTGGCTTTGTTGTATCTAAAAATGCTATGCTAGGCATATTCAAAGGCTTTCACAGGCCACACACATTTCATGGGAGCCACACTCTGTCCCCTGGATGATTGGCCTTCAAAATCCTTATGGCTTGGACAGTGCTGAAACTGTCAGCCCTTTTTTCTTTGGTTGGCCAGTCCCAAACCCAGGTCAGCTAAAATGCCTAATCTAATTATGTATCACAGCAGTGTGGCTGCCACCAGAAGAGATTACTATTATCTTTGCAAACCTCTGAAAGTAATTAAAATCATGTATATGGGGAATACCAGCTGTAAAATATGAGAGGAAAAGTTGAGCAAAGTTCCAAAGACCTCAGAAGCAAAAAGATCTCAAAAGCTCTAAACTAAAACTTGGCCAGAAAAGACTATATGCAGTCATCTGATTCTAAGTATGGTTAAAGAGTTACTACAGATGAATCTACTGCTTCTCCACATCATTAACGTGAAAAACAGGCCACTTGGATTTCCAGTTTCGTCAAGATGGCAGCATCCGGGCCAAGCATACCATCAAGTTCTACAAACAGTAGCCTTCTCAAAGTTAAGTCAACGGCTGACGCTTTTACTACATCCTATTCAAAATTTGGAAATAGCATCTCTTACAGGAGATTAAAGCAATAGCATTTTGTTAGGGAGGAGGCACTAACTATTTCTTAAAGTACGGCCCTATGAACCACTTTCATCAGAATCTCTGGTAAACTGGTTAAAAACGTAGATTCCTAGGGCCTCCAGAATGATCAAAACAGATTTTTTTTTTAATCATGACCCACATTAAGCAATACATTTGGCATTAAGATTCGGTATCTGTTTTGTAAAACACTCTATTCTCATTGCACTCTTTTCTGTTTCATGTTTTAAACTGCTGGTCTGGACTCAATAAATTGATATGACCCGCTCCTGGATTGCAACCCTAAGCTTCAAAAACACTAGACTAGTTGACTAGAAGGAAGCAGAACTGGAGTTTCGTAATTAGCAACAAACACTTGAGGCTTTGTGATGCAGAGAGGGTTTAGTAATCCCCCACCTTTTCCAAATTCAACAGAATGAATGTCTTATAAACCAAACTATCCACTTGGATGGTTTCAGGCATTAAAAAGTGGTTGCAGGCTTCAGTTACAAACCTTAAGGGCACCCACTCTCTTAGATCCGGACAGGAAATGTCCTCCATAGGAATGATTACCTCTAAACCTTCAGAGTTAAGAAAGATGATAATGTAAGCTAAGTGTGCGCTCAGCGGAGCCCCTTGGCACACCCCCAGCCACATCCTCTCTGCAAGGGCTTCAAAGCACTCCCTTCCTCCACCTCTCCCCACCCATTCACACCAAACACCCATAGGGGAGTAAATTACTTTAAAACACTCAGCTTTGTCCTATCTCAATACCATAATTTAATAAACGCTTTTGATTGAGCAGCACTGTAGAAACCCCTCACCTGTTGTCTCTCCTTCATTTTTCTTCTCCTAGGCATTTCTCATCTTCTTTTTCCCCTGCCTCTGCCACCCAGCTTCTTCCTCCCTTACCTTCTCTCCTCCTCTGCCTTCACTTCCATCTGCTGGGAGAGCAGGGTAGGGTACATGAAAGTCTCTGGCTTCACTCCCCTCACAATATGCCCTTCTTCCTAGGGGAGCATTTTTTTGGCTAAAGCAACACACGCTTAGAGAAAAGACTTTCTCTAAGGAGAGTGATGAAACAAACACCAGATCTGAAGAGGGTATGTGTAATTAACAAAGTGTAATGGTTCTCCACTCTCCCAAGGAATCACTTCTCTGTTCCTTTCTTCGGTCTGAACTTCTACAGGAAGAGTCTCCTGAAGGCAGAAAAGGGTCTGCAAGATGGGCAGCTGGGCATGGGGGAGAAGACAGAGGAGAAACAGTAAAAGCCCGTTACCTGGGGTTCTTAATTGCTGCTGATGCTGCAACATTTTCCTGGTATATTTCCTTGGTGAGCCTCTCCCATAATAAGCACCTCTTCTTCAGTCAGTCAACAAGTATTTATTGAGCACCTGCTATGCTGGGAATCAGTTTAGATTCTGGACCTCTAAACAAGACAAGGTTCCTGCCCTCATGGAACTTCCATTCTAACGGGGGAGACAGAGAATAATCAAATAAACGAATATATAATGCCAGGGGTTAATTAGTGCTAAGACGGAAAATTTATACGAGGTAATCAGGGAAGGCCCTCTGTAAGAAGACAACTGAACAGAGACCTGAAGAAAGCAAGGGTGTGAGCCGTCTGGACATGTGGGGATAATCTCCTTGTGCAAAAGGAATAACATGTGCAAAGGCCCTGGGGAGAGAACTTGGTGAAAAAGAAAAATGTAAGGTAGTCAGAGTGGCTGCAGTTAAGAAGGGCAGAGAGATGAGACAAGGGAAGGTTGGAGGGGTGGGGTGTGGATATGGCCATCAATAGGACCACGAGTTCTATAGCCCAATGACTGCTCCAAGTCCTGAGTTCCATCAGACCCAGGTCTGGGCCTGCCTCCCAGCGTGCCCCTCCCTGACACCTACCAAGCTTCTGAGCCAGTTCCCTTCCCTCCTGACATCATCTGGCCTGCAGAGTTCCAACATTCCAGGTCATTCCCTCACAATTTCCCAAGAAGACAACCAGTCCATCTAATTAAAAAAAAAAAAAAATGAGTAATAAATGTAGTAGAAAAGAAGGCTACATGCACATTTAACCACAGCCCTCAAGAGAGAGGAAATGTACCACAGAAAAGAGCAGAGGTTCAGAAGGTCAGCTATAAGAAAAAGTCTGCTATGTGACAGCAGGACATCTGGCCTTCTAACTTATAGTCCCCAGTTTTGAAAACTGGGGGACAATGATCCTTGAAACGACCTTGGAAAGCAGGTATGGAGGTGAGATAACACGAAAAACCATGACCAGAGGAGGCCCTTAATAACAGCTGCTTCCAGCCTTTTCCATGTAAAAGTAAACCTGAGAGGGGTTAGAGCCCTCTAGTTCCCAAAATTACCCTCAAAGAGTTGATATACAGGTCTAGGTCATTAATTACTTTTATTTTATGGACCAAAAAAAAACCTCAGAAATTCTTCCACAGCCCCACCCACCCCACCCGCAAGTCACTGGCAGGGCCAAACGGGAAGCCCGCGGCCTCTGCCTCCGGAGGCAGAAACCTTGTCTTAGGTTCTCTGAAATCTTAAACATAACGAATTAGATCCGCATCATTTATGGCCAGCGGTGTTAGCAGGCCCATGGTCTGGGGCACAGGGCATCACAAAATATGCTCGGTGAGTCACAGGAGCTGTCCAGAGGCCGAGTCCCTCCAGGGGTCCAAGTCCTGCGGCTTCAGGTCAACACAGGTCCGGCCGCCAACCACCCCTGCCCTGAACTGCCAACTTCAAACTGCCCCCAGGCGGGAGAGGGTCACTCGGCGGGAGTCCCCAGCTCCGGAGACCCTTGCGATCACCCATACATACACACACACACACACACACACACACACGCTCACATGCTCGCCGCCCTCGCGCGCGCCCGCGACACAACGCGGACTTCCCAACCCCAAACACACGCGCGCACCCCCGGGCCGGCTGAGTTCTGTATTTCCTCTTCCTCAAAGCAACTCTATCGATCTCGGCCGCCCCTCTCCGCTCGGATTCTAGGGCCCCCAGAGCTCCGCTGCCCCCCTTCTCTGAAGGCGCGCCCAGTGCGCCCACTCCTCGATGCCAGGATCTCCCATCGAAGCCCCTGCCGTCTTTCCCGGTCCCGGCGGGGACCCTGGAGTGTCCCCGGGAGGCGGGTATTTACTAACAGTGGCCCCGGGACTCCCAGCTGCCCTAACCATCCCCTTCCGTCCCTCCGGGCCCTCCATCCCTCTAGCCCATCACCGCCCCCTCCAAGGAGCGCGGTCGCAGGGGGATTCCCTCCCATCTGCGAGTGCCAGAGAAAAGCCGGGAGTCCGAGCCGCCAATCCTTTCTCCAGCGCAGCCTCTCAGTTCTGCAAGCCCGCAATCCCACACTCTCTCTGTCCACAGTCCCCCAGCGCTGGCTGCGCAGCCCTCCGGCAGCCCCCTCCAGCCGGCCTTGGCCGAAACATCTCCGCGGCTTCCCGGGGCCCGCGCTCCATCCCCAGCGCCCCCTCCCTCCTCTTCTACTCCCACTCCAGCCGCCCCCCTCTGCCCAGACTTCCCCCAACTGCGGAGCGCCCTGGTGCGCCCGCAGCCTTCATCCCGCAGGGCGCCGCGGCCACCTCCGCCCGAGCCGCGGCGCCCCCAGGGAGGAAACAAAAGTGTCTCCACGGCGCCCAGCGTCCCCCAGAGCAGGACGCCTCCTCCTTGCCCCAACCCCAGCTTCCTCCCCGCCGCGCTGAGGTCAGCGAGTCGGGGCGCGGCGCCAGCCCAGGAAACTTTACGAACCTGCCCGGGGTCGCAGGACGGCGGCGGCGGCGGCGAGGGTTCCCAGCGATCAGGGCTCTGACGACCAGCGACCTTTGAAAGGGGGCCAGAGATTCTGTCGCCTAGCTCGGGGCCGCGGCGGTGTGGGTGGCTCTGCCTCTATCCCGTGCCCATCTTCGCCCGCTCTCGCTCGCCCGAACACACGCACTTACACTCCGGGTCGGCCGGCTGCTGCGCCGCCGGCTGCCGCTGCTCTCACTTCCTCTTCCTTCCTCCTGCTGGCCAGAGACACATTTTGCATCTGCAAGGCATCCCGAGATCAGCCGCGAACTCTCCTCCGGAGCCGGCGCTGCGGAGTGGCCGCCACCGCCCCCGGCACCTGCGCCCGGACACGCGTGGTTGAGCGTTCGCCTCCCGCCCGCGCCCTGGTGCCTGCCCACTGCACTTTGCCTGGGGGGTACCCACGACTTTTTGAAGTCCCCCTACTTAAAAAGAAGAAAACGTCAAACACCGTGCACGCCTCAGATCTGCTATAAATGTGTGCAGATCATGACTTCTCAGATGAGCTCACACGAGCGTTTTGCAGGGACTAATTAACTCCGTCACCCTCATAGCGCCACCTCCGGGAGGCCGAGAGCAGGAGGCATCTTTTTAGATGCTTTCATTTTCAGCAACTGGTTTGGAATTTTGGGGGGAAACTTCCGTGGGCTGTTTCAAGGCTACTTTAAGAGGCTGTGTATTTGTTTTGACGCTGTTCCTCTACCTTTGGACAGCGTGGCAAAAATAACAACAGAATGCTTCCTCCCCTCGCAGTCACTTATGCATTTACCGACTACAAGATTTATTTCTAATCAATTAAGCCAAGGACTCCCTAATTTTACATAACTTTGCATAAAACAAGATGTTCTACCCCCAACTTGGTATTTAGGGTACATCACTTAATTCATGCAACCTACTTCAGTCACTTTCCAAGCAGAAATCAAGCACGCTAACTCCCGGCCTAGCTGCCAGGAGGGAAATGACAATTGTTGGAAGGTTGCAGAAGAAACACTTGTCCTCTCCAAATTCATAAATATCTACATTGGCTCTCCCAGAAAAGGCAAAGGCAGTTGCTATGCATTTCACTCAGACTGGCACAGGAGGTAAGCTGGGAGCAGGGAAGCATTCGAATCTAAGGTGGAAGGCAAAGCTTCTCTTTAAGTTTCAACACCCCCCAAAGGAGATTTCAATTTTAACCCTGTTCTGGCTGTCCATTAGCAGCCAAGAGCTCCAGGCAGCTATTGAATGCTTGAAACGTGGCTAGTCATGAGATGTTCTGTAAGTGTAAAACAGACATGGGGCTTAATGGGGGAAAATGATGTAAGAGCGTGTTAATAATTTTAATGTTGATTACATCATTTCAAGAAATGATAGTAGCTTAGATGTAATGAGTCAATTGGGTTAATGTATTGGATTAAGATATAAATATATATATTATATATATATATACAATTTAAAATGAGTTCACTGATTTCCTTTTCATTTGTAATGTGGCTACTAGAAAAAGGAAGATTACTTTAGTAATCTCATTAGTGGCTCACATTATATTTCTAATGAACAGCCCCAATCTGACCCCTTATTATATGCATAACTTCCAGAGGCAGTATTAGTAGCAGGAATACTTAGGTCCAGATCATTATAAGCTAAGTTAAAGCAGGATGATTCCAGGAAAGTAACTTTTCTCTATTTCCTCATCTGTAAAACTGTAATGATATAATAATAACAGACAACAGGGCAACTATCAAATGAGGTAATTTAATAAGCAGTCAGTAAATGGATGCTATGAGATGCTTGTAATGATAAGTATGAATTTGATCCACAACGTTTTAGCTAAGGCATACAAAGACCTTAATATTAGTGCAGACATCATGAGCACTCAGTAAATGTTAGCTGTCATAACTGTCCCAAGAGTAAAGAGGGAACTCTGTGTCCTCTCCTTGAACAGCAATTAGACAAATCCACCTCCCTGTAACCTTTGGTCCCAGCTCTGCCCTCTGCAGTCAACATGGAGTAAGTCACATCCTTCCTCCAGGAGATAACCTCTCAGGTCTTTGAAGACAGCCATTGCATTCTACCTAAACATTCTCTTCTGAGGATTAAACATTCTCAGTTACTCTAACTCATCTTCATGTGATATGGTTTCAAATCTCTCTAATCTTAGCCATTTTCCCCTTGAAGGACACCTGTCTCTGCCCTTTAAAAAAAATTTGTTGTCATAAAATTAATTGACTAGTTAACCATTAAAGACAATTAATACAGCCTGAGCTCTTGTCAGTTATTTTTCAAATACATCTCACTGTTGATCCCAGTGCAAGGGGAAAACTGGAAATTCCTTGCTATGTTACTGTTAGGCCATATCCATGCTTATGGGGTTCATCTTTGGGACAGAAGCCCTGGGTCCACCTTCTCTATGTCTCTTTGGATTTGATTCAGGCATCCGGTGTCTCCCCATGTCCACAGAGTAGATTAGAACACTAGAGTCCTGGATGACACCCCACTAAGGGGCTCCCTCTGCCGTGGTGGGGCTCAGCATTCTTTGGGTTCACTGGTTCATTCAGTTACTAACAACCCTCTTAACTATGCAATTGTCAAGCCTTATTTTTCTATTATATTCATAAGGACATCTTAGAGATGTCAAATGCCTTAGAGAAATCCACCTCTACCCTAGGCTTAGCTGGTGGTCTGCAGTGGGCACAGTAGAGTGGTGGTGTCATGTACAAAGTCTCCATTTCTGGACTTGGTTGTTGGGTATAAATCCCACCATTGGCATTTACTAGGTGCATTACCCTATGCAAGTGACTTGACTCATGGGATTAAAACCACACCTACCTGGGAGGGTTGAGTGAGGATTAAATGAGTTAATACATGCAAAGTTCTTAGAAAAGGGCCTGGCACATAGAAGCACTCAATAACTGTTAGCTTAGCTATTATTATCCATAACAGTCCTCTGATCAACAAGTCATGTTAACAGAGTCCAAAAAAAGAGCAACACCCTCCCTTTTCCCATATATCAGTTTCTACCCATAGGGAAGGGAGAGAGCCTGTATCATCGCTCTGATGTTATTTAAGCTTCTGGTCAAACCTGGACCATTCAATTGTTAAGTTACACTGCAGTAGAGAGGACAGCCATTTTAGGGTAATGACCGGAATCCAAGTGCAGCCCTTCACTAGCACTTGCAGTGGGTCCACCTGGGCAGGGCTTAGACTCTGCAGATGGTCCAGCCTCATCTACGTCTCGGGTGGTAGGGAAGTGGACTCAGGATCTCCTCTGCAGGACCACCCATCTCAGTTTCAGGATGGAGAAGAGGAAGTAGGGTAGGGATAGTTGGCTAGAGAACAAAACTCAGTGGACCCTCAAATCTAACCTGCTCTCTCCAACCGTGCTTACAAGACGGCTTTACATTGTTGACAGCTGGAGAGGTGTGTTTGGGGAAATTTCCCATATTTTAGTACCTTGATCCTGTGTTTCCCATATCTTTATTCTTCCTTGTGTATGCAGAACTCCAAGATAGGAGGGGTAACTGGAAGTTTATCAGAATATCACCATGAAAACCCAAACTGCAAAAACGGCCTGTTATATTTTTCATCAATGATGACTCATGTTGATCAACTCTTTCTAAGTGCACACAAATATTGATTTCTACTTTATTAAAAAAAACTTATTGGACTTCAAATGGACATTGTGCATTTAATAATGCATTTAGTAATTTGCTTCAGAATTCTACTCCAATCAGCCTCAACTTCCTTGATCTATTGCTTGAAGAATCTATTCTCTTTTCCTGTCTTAGAATCAGGCTCATGTTGGCTTGACTCCAGTCTACGAACAGCTCTTGGAGGCAGAGAAAATGGCCTCAGCTCCAGGAGGCTGCGACACCAGAGGTAACAAAGTCCGGGCAGCAGACAGACACCTGCACTCCAGAGCCACTGGGGTCAACCCTGCATGCAGACCTCAGTTTCAGAGTCTGCTCCCTGGGGAACCTGACCTAAGACATCAGCTGTTCTCACGTTATGGATATTATATCCTCTCTTATTTACTGTGAGGATATTAATGATACTTCTTTCAAATTCTTCTTTTATTTGCCCTATGAACTCTATTTCCTTAGGTTATAGTTACTCAATGAAGACTGATGTCACCTTGGCTGGGTGCTTAACTTGGCGTATGTGATTCTCTGCTCTCCTGTCACTGCTGTTTCTGTTATCTGTAACTTGCAACTGATGATCCTGGGGAATAGGGAGACGGGCTGCCGGGTGGTGGTCCTGGGAGTTTATGTCTGTGTGTGGTCGCACTCTCTCTAGGAGATTTAAATGATTAAATGGAGCCCAGCCTCTTCAGCCCCAGTGCTCACATTCACTGCTCCACCTGGATACGAGGCTAAGGCCACGAGCTGCATAGCAAAGTGGTGATGGAGGGTGCAGAGTAGCCCCACAGTTAATCACCCTGAGTGCCCTTGGGCACCCTCCTGCCTCCATGTGTGTTTACACTGGACTCGGAGAGCTCTTGACCCAAATTGCTTCTACCTCTGTCATAGAAATATTCTGTTTGCGTGTTGGGCTGTGGTTTCCTCCCATTTTAATTTTCTCTATATCTGATCCAGTCTGCTCTCCAAAACTTCTGGTGGCCTGCTTTTCTTTCTTTTTCCTTCTTCCTTCCTTCCTTCCTTCCTTCCTCTTTCCTTCCTTCCTTCCTTCCTCTCTCCCTCACTCCCTTCCTTCCTTTCCTCCCTCCCTCCCTCCTTCCTTCCTTCCTTTTTTCCTTCGTTCCCTCCTTCCTTCATTTTCTCTCTCTTTTCTTCCTTCCCTTCTTCCTTCTTTCTGTTTTTTTCTGGACTGGCCACAACCCTTCTTTTTATATCTTTTCTTTCTTTTCAGGGGGTTTGGAACTAGAGGAGGGGTAGATGTGTGTGATTAGGACACGATATTTCCAAACTTATTACTTTTACATTTTCAAGGTTTATTCCATTTTCATTCTGCTGCCTTCTGTCCTGACACTATAATTAAAGTTTCTTTATATATTCTCTATTGGTTGATTCTAAAAATTGGAAAACAATTTACAGTAATTACTCACAGCTGAGCCAAATAGCATGCGTGGACCTGAAGAGAAGGAATATAATCCTATGTCATTAAGCCTGTCACCCCTGAAGAAGAATGCAACAAGGGTCAAGATTAAACAGACTCTGTCTTCTGACATTCTGTCAGTTGCCCAAAATTTGGGTATATTTTAATTTACTTCAAGGAGGCACAATGACTCTCTCTGTGATTTTGTTCCTCGGAGTTTTAAATTGCCAAAGCTTATTAAAGTCTTCCCTATTCTTAAGAATGGAATCCACTTTACTCTTGAAGGCAATCTCCACAGAGCCTCAGATGTTCTGTCCCAGTGTGGCCTACTGCTAGTGTTTTCCTAGGATTTCTTCTCATTACCCTCTAGTTATTTCCACTGTTTCTTGAATACCTTGTCTTCTGCTAAGACTCCTTATTTCCCTGAAATATGTACCCAAATAC